TAGGCGCCCATAGAGATAGGCGCCCCTAGAGATTGGCGCCCCTAGAGATAGGCGCCCCTAAATGTACACGCCCCTAGAGACAGGTGCCCATAGAGATCGGAGCCCCTAGAGATAGGCGCCCCTAGAGATAGGCGCCCCTAGAGATATGCGCCCCTAGAGATAGGCGCACCTAGAGATAGGCGCCCATAGAGATAGGCGTCCCTAGAGATAGGCGCTCATAGAGATAGGCGCCCATAGAGATAGGCGCCCCTAGAGATAGGCGCCCCTAGAGATAGGCGCCCCTAGAGATAGGCGCCCCTAGAGATAGGCGCCCCTAGAGATAGGGGCCCCTAGAGATAGGCGCTCTTAGAGATAGGCGCCTCTATAGATAGGCGACCCTATAAATAGGCGCCCCTAGAGATAGGCGCCCCTAGAGATAGGCGCTCCTAGAGATTAGCGCCCCTAGAGATATGTGCCTGTAGATATATGAGCCCCTAGAGATAGGCGCCCCTAGAGATAGGCGCCCCTAGAGATAGGCGCCCCTAGAGATAGGCGCTCATAGAGATAGGCGCCCATAGAGATAGGCGCCCCTAGAGATAGGCGCCCCTAGAGATAGGCGCCCCTAGAGATTCGCGCCCCTAGAGAAAGGCGCACATAGAGATAGGTGCCCACAGAGATAGGCGCCCCTAGAGATAGGCGCCCCTAGAGATAGGCGCCCCTAAAGATACGCGCCCCTTGAGACAGGCGCCCATAGAGATAGGAGTCCCTAGAGAAAGGCGCCCCTAGAGATAGGCGCCCCTAGAGATAGGCGCCCCTAGAGATAGGCGCCCCTAGAGATAGGCGCCCATAGAGATAGGCGCCCATAGAGATAGGCGCCCCTAGATATAGGCGCCCAAAGAGATAGGCACCGCTAGAGATAGGCGCCCCTAGAGATAGGCGCCCATAGAGATAGACGCCCATAGAGATAGGCGCCCATAGAGATAGGCGCCCATAGAGATAGGCACCCATAGAGATAGGCGCCCTCAGAGACAAGCACCCCTAGAGATAGGCGCCCCTAGAGATAGACGCCCCGAGAGATAGGCGCCCATAGAGATAGGCGCCCCTAGAGATAGGCGCCCTTAGAGATAGGCGCCCCTAGAGATAGGCGCCCCTAGAGATAGGCGCCCATAGAGATAGGCGCCCATAGAGATAGGCGCCCCTAGGTATAGGCGCCCATAGAGATAGGCGCCCCTATAGATAGGCGCCCCTAGAGATAGGCGCCCATAGAGATAGGCGCCCATAGAGATAGGCGCCCCTAGATTTATGCGCCCATAGAGATAGGCGCCCCTAGAGATAGGCGCCCATAGAGATAGGCGCCCATAGAGATAGGCGCCCCTAGATTTATGCGCCCATAGAGATAGGCGCCCCTAGAGATAGGCGCCCCTATAGATAGGCGCCCCTAGAGATAGGCGCCCCTAGAGATAGGCGCCCATAGAGATAGGCGCCCCTAGAGATAGGCGCCCATAGAGATAGGCGCCCATAGAGATAGGCGCCCATAGAGATAGGCGCCCCTAGAGATCGGCGCCCCTAGAGATAGGCGCCCCTAGAGATAGGCGCCCCTAGAGATAGGCGCCCCTAGAGATAGGCGCCCCTAGAGATAGGTGCCCATAGAGATAGGCGCCCCTAGAGATAGGCGCCCCTAAAGATACATGCCCCTAGAGACAAGCGCCCATATAGATAGGAGCCCCTAGAGATAGGCGCCCCTAGAGATAGGCGCCCCTAGAGATATGCGCCCCTAGAGATAGGTGCACCTAGAGATAGGCGCCCATAGAGATAGGCGCCCGTAGAGATAGGCGCTCATAGAGATAGGCGCCCATAGAGATAGGCGCCCCTAGAGATAGGCGCCCCTAGAGATAGGCGCCCCTAGAGATAGGCGCCCCTAGAGATAGGCGCCCATAGAGATAGGCGCCCATAGAGATAGGCGCCCATAGAGATAGGCGCCCATAGAGATAGGCGCCCCTAGAGATCGGCGCCCCTAGAGATAGGCGCCCCTAGAGATAGGCGCCCCTAGAGATAGGCGCCCCTAGAGATAGGCGCCCCTAGAGATAGGTGCCCATAGAGATAGGTGCCCCTAGAGATAGGCGCCCCTAAAGATACACGCCCATAGAGATCGGCGCCCCTAGAGATCGGCGCCCCTAGAGATAGGCGCCCCTAGAGATAGGCGCCCCTAGAGATAGGCGCCCCTAGAGATAGGCGCCCCTAGAGATAGGTGCCCATATAGATAGGAGCCCCTAGAGATAGGCGCCCCTAGAGATAGGCGCCCCTAGAGATATGCGCCCCTAGAGATAGGCGCACCTAGAGATAGGCGCCCATAGAGATAGGCGCCCCTAGAGATAGGCGCTCATAGAGATAGGCGCCCATAGAGATAGGCGCCCCTAGAGATAGGCGCCCCTAGAGATAGGCGCCCCTAGAGATAGGCGCCCCTAGAGATAGGCGCCCCTAGAGATAGGCGCCCCTAGAGATAGGCGCTCCTAGAGATAGGCGCCTCTATAGATAGGCGACCCTATAGAGGTAGGCGCCCATAGAGGTAGGCGCCCATAGAGGTAGGCGCCCATAGAGGTAGGCGCCGCTAGAGATAGGCGCCCCTAAAGATACGCCCCAATAGAAATAGGCGCCCCTAGAGATAGGCACCCTTAGAGAAAGGTGCCCCAAGAGATGGGCGCCCCTAGAGATAGGCGCCCATAGATAGAGGCGCTCCTAGAGATAGGCGCCCCTAGAGATAGGCGCCCCTAGAGAAAGGCGCCACTAGAGATAGGCGCCCCTAGAGATAGGCGCCCATAGAAACAGGCGCCCCTAGAGATAGGCGCCCATAGAGATAGGCGCCCATAGAGATAGGCGCCCCTAGAGACAGGCGCCCCTAGAGATAGGCGCCCCTATAGATAGGCGCTCCTAGAGATAGGCGCCCCTAGAGATAGGCGCCCCTAGAGATAGGCGTCCTTATAGTTAGGCGCCCCTAGAGATAGGCGCCCCTAGATATAGGCGCCCCTAGAGATAGCTGCCCATAGAGATAGGCGCCCCTAGAGATAGGCGCTCCTAGAGATAGGCGCCCCTAAAGATACGCGCCCCTTGAGACAGGCGCCCATAGAGATAGGAGTCCCTAGAGATAGGCGCCCCTAGAGATAGGCGCCCCTAGAGATAGGCGCCCCTAGACATAGGCGCCCCTAGAGATAGGCGCCAATAGAGATAGGCGCCCCTAGGGATAGGCGCCCCTAGAGATAGGCGCCCATAGAGATAGGCGCCCATAGAGATAGGCGCCCCTAGAGATAGGCGCTCTTAGAAATTGGCGCCTCTATAGATAGGCGACCCTATAGATAGGCGCCCCTAGAGATAGGCGCCCCTAGAGTTAGGCACTCCTAGAGATAGGCGCCCCTAGAGATAGGCGCCCCTAGAGATAGGCGCCCCTAGAGATAGGCGCCCCTATAGAAAGGCGCCACTAGAGATAGGCGCCCCTAGAGATAGGCGCCCATAGAAACAGGCGCCCCTAGAGATAGGCGCCCATAGAGATAGGCGCCCATAGAGATAGGCGCCCCTAGAGATAGGCGCCCTTAGAGATAGGCGCCCCTATAGATAGGCGCTCCTAGAGATAGGCGCCCCTAGAGATAGGCGCCCCTAGAGATAGGCGTCCTTATAGTTAGGCGCCCCTAGAGATAGGCGCCCCTAGATATAGGCGCCCCTAGAGATAGCTGCCCATAGAGATAGGCGCCCCTAGAGATAGGCGCTCCTAGAGATAGGCGCCCCTAAAGATACGCGCCCCTTTAGACAGGCGCCCATAGAGATAGGAGTCCCTAGAGATAGGCGCCCCTAGAGATAGGCGCCCCTAGAGATAGGCGCCCCTAGACATAGGCGCCCCTAGAGATAGGCGCCAATAGAGATAGGCGCCCCTAGAGATAGGCGCCCCTAGAGATAGGCGCCCATAGAGATAGGCGCCCATAGAGATAGGCGCCCCTAGAGAAAGGCGCTCTTAGAGATTGGCGCCTCTATAGATAGGCGACCCTATAGATAGGCGCCCCTAGAGATAGGCGCCCCTAGAGATAGGCACTCCTAGAGATAGGCGCCCCTAGAGATAGGCGCCCCTAAAGATAGGCGCCCCTAGAGATAGGCGCCCATAGAGATAGGCGCCCATAGAGATATCGCCCCTAGAGATAGGCGCCCCTAGAGAAAGGCGCCCTTAGAGATAGGCACCCCTAGAGATTGGCACCCCTAGAGATAGGCGCCCATAGAGATATCGCCCCTAGAGATAGGCGCCCATAGAAACAGGCGCCCCTAGAGATAGGCGCCCCTAGAGATAGGCGCCCACAGAGATACGTGCCCCTATAGATAGGCGCCCCTAGAGATAGGCGCCCCTATAGATAGGCGCCCCTAGAGATAGGCGCCCCTAGGGATAGGCGCCCCTAGAGATAGGCGCCCTTAGAGATAGGCGCCCCTAGAGATAGGCGACCCTAGAGATAGGCACCCCTAGAGATAGGCGCCCATAGAGATAGGCGCCCCTAGAGATAGGCGCCCCTAGAGAAAGGTGCCCCTAGAGATAGGCGCCCCTTGAGATAGGCGCCCATAGATAGAGGCGCTCCTAGAGATAGGCGCCCCTAGAGATAGGAGCCCCTAGAGATAGGCGCCACTAGAGATAGGCGCCCCTAGAGATAGGCGCCCATAGAAACAGGCGCCCCTAGAGATAGGCGCCCATAGAGATAGGCGCCCACAGAGATAGGCGCCCCTATAGATAGGCGCCCCTAGAAATAGGCGCCCCTATAGATAGGCGCCCCTATAGATAGGCGCCCCTAGGGATAGGCGCCCCTAGAGATAGGCGCCCTTAGAGATAGGCGCCCCTAGAGATAGGCGACCCTAGAGACAGGCACCCCTAGAGATAGGCGCCCATAGAGATAGGCGCCCCTAGAGATAGGCGCCCCTAGAGATAGGCGCCCTTAAAGATACGCGCCCCTTGAGACAGGCGCCCATATAGATAGGAGTACCTAGAGATAGGCGCCCTAGAGATAGGCGCCCCTAGAGATAGGCGCCCCTAGAGATAGGCGCCCATAGAGATAGGCGCCCATAGAGATAGGCGCCCCTAGATATAGGCGCCCATAGAGATAGGAGCCGCTAGAGATAGGCTCCCCTTGAGATAGGCGCCCATAGAGATAGGCGCCCATAGAGATAGGCGCCCATAGAGATAGGCGCCCATAGAGATAGGCGCCCATAAAGATAGGTGCCCCTAGAGATAGGTGCCCATAGAGATAGGCGTCCCTAGAGATAGGCGCCTCTAGAGATAGGCGCCCATAGAGATAGGCGCCCCTAGAGATAGACGCCCCTAGAGATAGGCGCCCATTGAGATAAGCGCACCTAGAGATAGGCGCCCATACAGATAGGCACCCCTAGAAATAGGCGCCCCTAGAGATAGGTGCCCCTAGAGATAGGCGCCCATAGAGATAGGCGCCAATAAAGATAGGCGCCCATAGAGATAGGCGCCCATAGAGATAGGCGCCTCTAGAGATAGGCGCCCACAGAGGTAGGCGCCCATAGATGTAGGCGCCGCTAAAGATAGGCGCCCCTAGAGATAGGCGCCCCTTGAGATAGGCGCCCCTAGAGATAGGCGCCCCTTGAGATAGGTGCCACTAGAGAGAGGCGCCCCTAGAAATAGGCACCCATAGAGACAGGCGCCCATAGAGATAGGCGCCCATAGAAATAGGCACCCATAGAGATAGGTGCCCCTGGAGATAAACGCCCATAGAGATAGGCGCCCCTAGAGATAGGCGCCCATAGAGATATGTGCCCATAGAGATATGCGTCCCTAGAGATAGGCGCCCCTAGAGATAGGGGCCACTAGAGATAGGCGCCCCTAGAGATAGGTGCCCCTAGAGATAGGCGCCCCTAGAGATAGGCGCCACTAGAGATAGGCGCCCTTAGAGGTAGGCGCCCCTAGAGATAGGCGCCCCTAGAGATAGGCGCCCCTAAAGATATGCCCCGCTAGAGATAGGCGCCCCTAGAGATAGGCTCCCACAGAGGTAGGCGCCCATAGAGGTAGGCGCCGCTAGAGATAGGCGCCCCTAGAGATAGGCGCCTCTTGAGATAGGCGCCCCTAAAGATAGGCGCCATTAGAGATAGGCGCCCCTTGAGATAGGAGCCCCTAGGATAGGCGCCCCTTGAGATAGGCGCCACTAGAGAGAAGCTCCCCTAGAAATAGGCGCCCATAGAGACAGGCGCCCCTAGAGATAGGTGCCCATAGAGATAGGCGCCCCTAGATATAGGCGCCCCTATAGATAGGAGCCCCTATAGATAGGCGCCCATAGAGATAGGCGCCCCTAGAGATAGGTGCCCCTAGAGATAGGCGCCCCTACACATAGGCGCCGCTAGAGATAGGCGCCCACAGAGGTAGGCGCCCATAGATCGCGCCGCTAAAGATAGGCGCCCCTAGAGATAGGCGCCCCTTGAGATAGGCGCCCCTAGAGATAGGCGCCCCTTGAGATAGGCGCCACTAGAGAGAGGCGCCCCTAGAAATAGGCGCCCATAGAGACAGGCGCCCATAGAGATAGGCGCCCATAGAAATAGGCACCCATAGAGATAGGTGCCCCTGGAGATAAGCGCCCATAGAGATAGGTGCCCCTAGAGATAGGCGCCCATAGAGATAGGCGCCGATAGAGATAGGCGCCCATAGAGATAGGCGCCCATAGAGATAGGCGCCCCTAGAGATGGGCGCCCATAGAGATAGGCGCCGATAGAGATAGGCGCCCATAAAGATAGGCGCCCATAGAGATAGGCGCCCCTAGAGATAGGCGCCCCTAAAGATACGCGCCGCTAGAGATAGGCGCCCCTAGAGATAGGCGCCCACAGAGGTAGGCCCCCATAGAGGTAGGCGCCACTATAGATAGGCGCCCCTAAAGATAGGCGCCCCCTTGAGATAGGCGCCCCTAGAGATAGTCGCCCCTATAGATAGGCGCCCCTAGAGATAGGCGCCCATAGAGATAGGCGACGCTAGAGGTAGGCACCCATAGAGATAGGTGCCCCTAGAGATAAGCGCCCATAGAGATAGGCGCCCCTAGAGATAGGCGCCCATAGAGATAGGCGCTGATAGAGATAGGCGCCCATAGAGATAGGCGCCCATAGAGATAGGCGCCCCTAGAGATGGGCGCCCATAGAGATAGGCGCCAATAGAGATAGGCGCCCATAAAGATAGGCGCCCATAGAGATAGGCGCCCCTAGAGATAGGCGCCCCTAAAGATACGCGCCGCTAGAGATAGGCGCCCCTAGAGATAGGCGCCCATAGAGGTAGGCCCCCATAGAGGTAGGCGCCACTATAGATAGGCGCCCCTAAAGATAGGCGCCCCCTTGAGATAGGTGTGAAGCAAGGAAAACAGGAATGAGAATGACTAAGGAAAGATTGGGTACAAATACAACCCTAGAAACCCTGTACCCCATATGTGCTACCCCACTATAGCCTACAGCAACTATGTCATATAAATCTGACACACCCCCATAGGCAAAGTGGGGGAGAACAAGGGGTCACAAGACCAGTCAAGCAAAGCAAAGCAAGCTCAGGGTGGATCACAAAGTCACCACACAGTCCGAGCACAAGAGTAGGGCCAGAGGCCAGTTCACATGCAGGAGTACAGACATATATATAAAACTAGACAAGCAAGAGCAGGCATATATATATGTCACAGTACAAGTGAAGTCAAGAGGAGAGCAAGTGAGGCAAGACAGGCACAAGACCCAGCTGGGTGCAAAAGCGCTGATGGTCACAAGGCGCGAGTGCCTTGGTGAACACATCAGCAGTGTTGGCCTCAGAGGCCACGTACGCAAGTCGCAGCTGACCACGCTGCTGCAGCTCACGAGCAAGGAAGTAGCGGAGAGCAATGTGCTTCGTTCTGTGCTCCAAGCGCTGCTCTCGACACAAGGCCAGCATGGCCTTGTTGTCTACGTACAGCACTGGAGGAGAACGAGGCGGCTCTCCAAGGTCAGTCAGCAGGTAGGTGAGCCAGCGAAGCTCCTGTGCAGCCATGGCCCCGGCGTAGATCTCAGCCTCACAACTGGAGCCAAGAACCGAAGACGAGCGAGTAGACCGCCACGAGACAGAGCCGGAACCAAGGCTGAAGGTGTAACCCTGTGACGACCGCTGCGTAGCCTGGTCGTCAGCCCAAGAAGCGTCCGCGTGGCCGGTAAGGACCACTGGACTCCGCCCTCCAAGCACTAGCCCCATGCCCGACGTGCTGCACAGGTAGCGCAATACCCTCTTCGCTGCAGCCATGTGCTCCGGTCTGTGTCTCCCAGGAGCAACATAGCGAGCAAGAATGCTCAGAGGGTATGCAAGGTCAGGTCGTGTGCAGGTCATCAGGTACATGAGGCAGCCAACAAGCTCTGCATACGGACCACTCGACTCTACGGACTCATCCGAAGGCAGAGCTGAGAGTGAGTGGCGAGTAGGCAGAGGAGTGGCCTGAGGCGAGGAGTACGTGAAGCCGAAGCGCTGAAGGACCTGCTGCACCATGTGTGACTGAGTCAAGGTAATGGTGCGGCGTGCTCTGTCCCGAGTGATCTGCAAGCCAAGGTAGCTGCGCAGTTCACCCAGGTCTGTGCACGTGTGTCTCTTCAGCAGCTCGGACTTCACGTAGGCGAGTCCAGCAGTGTCTGCTGTGGCAAAGACCAAGTCGTCGACGTACACGAGGATGCAGAACGGCGGTAGGGAAGTGTCGGTGCGAAGAAACAGCGACGGGTCAGCAGTAGAAGGAGCAAACCCAAGAGCCGCAAGCGTAGTCCTTAGTGTGTCGTGCCACTCACGCGGTGCCTGGCGGAGACCGTAGACTGGCCGTCGGAGGCTCCACTGGGTGCCAGGAGGGAAAGTCCCAGTGAAGCCAGGTGGACGGCGAAGCCAGATCTCCTCGTGGAGGCTACCCTGCAAGAACGCAGTGCTGAAGTCGAGAGAGTGAAGCTCGTAGTCGCGCTGAGCGGCTATGTGCAGCAGCACCCGAAGAGTAGTCATCTTCGGGGTGGGAGAGAAGGTCTGAAAGTAGTCAACTCCCTGCCGCTGACTGAAGCCACGAGCAACGTACCGTGCCTTGAAGACAGGTGGAGAGCCCGGCGGCCGCTTCACCCTGAAGATCCACATGCCACTGACGATGTTCGCCCCAGGAGGGGGAACCGCGTCAACGTAGGTGCCTGTGGACTTCCAGGAAGCCATCTCTGCATCCATAGCTGCCTGCCACTGAGAGGAGTAGGGACCCTCTACGGCCTCCGCGTAAGAACGCGGAGTCGGGATGTCTAGTGCATCCGGGTCTCCCTCAGGGGCAAGCAGTACAGACGCGAGATGAGGTGAAGCAGCCGCTAGACACTGTAACTCCTCCTGCCTGTCCTCTAGGACGTCCGTGCCAAGAGCACACTCACCCCCGACGGACGGAGGACAGACAGACGCAGACTCAGCAACAAGACGAGCAGCGTAGTCGAGACGACAGCGAGCAGCAAAGTCGACGAGCTCAGCGACTAGAGCAGACGCAGCAGTGGACTCAAAAGAGGGGTCAGTGACGACAGTAGCAAGCAGACGTGTGACAGTAGGACTGGCAGCACGAAGAGAGTCCGACTCAGGGTCGGCAAGCGCAGGAAGAGAGGACTCAGGAGGAGAAGGCAAAGGGGCACGCAGAGGAGCAGTGGACGGACGCAAAGACATCCGGTGCGTGCCAGGGACAGGAGGAGGACGCTGACGCGAACTGCGACCACTAGCGCGAGCAGCACGAACAGGCGACGCGGGACGAGACGCAGGCTCACGACGCTCAGCAAGACCTCCAGTAGGACCAGTGTAAGGAGAGGGAGCAGGCAGTGGAGAGGAAGGCTCCAGCAGGGACTGCGACTGGACAGGCAGTGGACCCTCTACTGGAGGAGAAAGACCAAGAACCTGCTGCAGGAGCGGAACGAAGTACGGCCGAGGCCGCGCGGCAGCTCCAGACGCAGCAGGGACAGCACCAGCACCCTCAGCGACAGCACCAGTGCCACCCACACCTCCAGCGGCAGGACCAACAGCAGTAGGCTCAGCACCAACGCCCTCAGCAGCTCCAGCTCCAGGGGGACCCGCAGGTCCGGCAGCTCCGGGACCGGCAGCACCCGCACCCTCGACGGTCGAAGAAGCTCCAGCTCCAGCTCCAGCAGCACCTCCAGACTCAGCAGCACGCCTCCAGCGGCGAGCGAACCACTCGCGCAGCTCCTGTGGAGAGAGGGGCTCCCGGCGAGACGCAGCAGCAGGAGAAACCCCAGGCTCAGCAGCTCCCAGCTCAGCACCCCCAGGCTCAGCAGCTCCCGACCCAGCACCCCCAGACCCAGCACCTCCAGGCACAGCACCCCCCGGCTCAGCACCCCCAGGCTCCGCACCCTCCGCAGTAGCACCCTCAGGCCCAGCACCCCCAGCAGTAGCACCCCCAGGCTCAGCACCCCCGCGCACAGCACCCCCAGAGTCAGCACCCCCAGGCTCAGCACCCGCAGCAGCACCAGAGTCACCAGTAACCTCGACCGGGTCAACGGCGTCTACCTGGGACACACCTGAGGGGGCAGGAACCTGAGGGGGGAGGGGGTCTACCGGGGGGGGAATCGGCACAAGGAAGTCCGGGGGAGGGGGGAGGGAAGGAGTGCGGTAGGGGAAGAGACGGTAGAAGGGGACTGACTCGTCGAACGTGACGTCCTGGGAGGACAGAACACGACGAGAGGAGGGGTGGTAAAACTGCCACCCTGGGGCGTCAGTGGGGAAGCCAAGGAAGACACAGGGAGCAGCACGAGGGGACAGCTTGTCCGCAGACAAGTCGCGTACAAACGCCCGAGATCCCCAGACACGGAACACAGACGCATCGCCAACCTTCCCCGTCCACAGCAAGGCTGGGGACATCGCAGGCCGAGAGACCCGGGGGTGAAGGTTGAGCTGATGCGCCGCGTACCTCACCGCAAACGGCCACAGAAAATGGGGGGCAGCCGCATGCATCATGGACGTACGAGCGACATCCATGACCATGCCAATGCGGCGCTCAGCAATCCCATTTTGCTGTGGTGAGTCCGGAAGCGTGAAGGTCTGGCGGATCCCCCGTGCACGACAGTAGTCCCGCAGAAGGCGAGAAGAGAACTCTCCGCCTCTGTCAGAGTGCAGACGCAGAACAGGAAAGTCCGAGCCGAAGCTCTTCCTGAGCTGGAGACGAGCCTCGCGGATCCAGTCGATCAGCACCTCAGTGACCTCACCCTTGCTGCGCAAGGGGAGGACTGTGGTGTAACGCGAGTAGTCGTCAACCACCAACAGGAAGTAGCGCTCGTAACCCTGCCCACGGACGGGGGCTGGGCCCCACACATCCATGTGAAGCGTCTGCAGGGGAGCCTCTGTCGGGGGGAAGTGGGAGGAGTGAGGAGTAGCCCGGAGGCGACCCTCGACACAGGGGACACTGGAAGGTCCTGGCCCGGAGGGGAGAGGAGGGAGAGACTGGGGAAGACCAGAGACAAGGACACGGGAAGCCATGCTCCGAAGACGGGGCAAGGAGGGGTGGCCAAGACGGTGGTGCCACAGGAGAGTCTCGTGAGACAGGAGGCGACAAGAACAGGGGGCAGACTCAGGACCTGACCGGGACGCAGCAGCAAGCACCTGACCCGACGCAGCCACCTGACCAGACGCAGGGACAGGAGGAGACTCAACGGTCAGGGTGTAGAGACTCGACCCCGGCCGACGCGAGAACGTGGCCAGGTGTCGGCCTGTGCGTGCCTCCGTGCAGTGGGTCA